TCAGTGCTAATAAAAAGCACTGACACTGTACTAATGGAACTGGGCAGGAAGGGGTTAACATCTGGGGCGATGAAAGGGTTAAATATGTGCTGTTTCTCTACAGGGGCTGAGTGTGTGCTTTCCACTGTAAGCACACTGCTTTGTATGGCTCTGCGATGCAGGATGTGCTACTCATGTGCCAACTGACATGTATGGGCACGGGCAGCATAAAAAAAAAAAAAAAAAGTGCACAGATCTGCTGGGTGCTTATCCCCTAAAAGTGCAAGCCGATGCACAGCTGTGTTCCACCAACTGTCTCTACTGACTCTTACCTCCAAAGCTTTGATATATACTAACCCTAGGTTCACACACCTAAGCGTTTTCTGCAGCGTTTTGCAGAAAAGTAACATCCATTTAACATGATTTCCTATGGCACAGGTTCACATCTCTGCGTTTTCACCCGGTGTGCTTTTTGGAAAGGGTCAGGGACTTTTTTGAACGCAAAACGTTGCGTTTTTGGTTCTACAGGCTTCAATGGGAACACTGTAGAAAAGCAGGTATTGTGTTTTTGCAGTGTTTTTGATGCATATTTGATGCGTTTTGCACTTAAAATCTGCCTAGCAACAAGAAAAATGTTTTAAAAAAGCAAAACGCATACAAAATGCATCAAAAACACAAGTGTAAAAACGCAATGCAATGTAGAAACGGCTCGAACACAACCTGCATAGGTGTGAGCCGAGCCTAACTGGCCACTTTATTAGGCACACCGGTTAAATTTTCTTTTTGGACCATTCTTTGTAAACCCTAGACATGGTTGTGTGTGAAAATCCCAGTAGATCAGCAGTTTTTGAAATACTCAGACCAGCCGCCTGGCGCCAACAACCATGCCACATTCAAAGTCACTTAAATCCCCTTTCTTCCCCACTCTGATGCTCGGCTTGAACTTCATCAAGTCGTCTTCACCACGTCTAGATGCCTAAATGCATTGAGTTGCTGCCATGTGATTGGCTGATTAGCATTTTTTGTTACCAAGAGATTGAACAGGTGTACATAATAAAGAGGCCGGTGAGTGTATAAGGACTAAAGCTGGCCATACATGGGTCGAATTCTGAAAGAATTTTCTTTCAAAAATCTTTTCTAAGAATTTTTGTTTGAATTTCGCACCATTAGTGGACCACAGCAAAGGCCAATTTTGTAAGCGACCATCGAATTTGAGTGACTGAGCATTTTGGAAATTTTTTTTTAAAAACGAACAAATTTTTAACCAATGATGGGAGAATCATGTGAGAAATGCAACTGAAAAAGAAATGCGCATGAGACGTGACCTGGAAAGAAAAGAAAATTCTTGGCCATGAAAATTCTTTTCTGTAGCAACATAGGGTTGCCACCTCATCCCTTTAACCACTTGGCAACCGCTCTATAGCTGAATGACAGCTACAACGCGGTTGTCCAGTCCTGGGAGGGCATCATATGACATCCTCCCGCGCACCCCCAGCAACGCGCCCCCAGCAACACGCACCCAGCGATCTCCGTGATCACTGTGCCTACAGACACTGCTGATCACGTGATGTGGTAAAAGGCCAATCACAGAAACCATTTACCATGTGATCAACTGTGTCCAATAACACAGCAGATCACTGGGTAAATACAGTTGCAGGTTATCGGCTGCACTTTCATCACGCTGTCACAGTGTGAGGAAAGTATTGCCGATAACCAGCAATTGTCAGAGGATGGATTGGCACCGATCATCAGGGTTCTGATGATCAGTGCTCAGCAGTGCTGCCTACCAGTGCCCAGGAGTGCCACCCACCTGAGCCCATCAGTGCCTAGCAGTGCCACCCACCAGTGCCTCCCATCAGTACTGCCCACCAGTGCCGCCAGTCAGTGCCATCAGTCAGTGCTGCCCATCAGTGCTGCCTATCAGTGCCCATCAGTGCTGCCTATCAGTGCCCATCAGTGCTGCCTATCAGTGCAGCATCAACAGTGCCCATCAGTGCTGCCTATCCATGTCATCTCATCAGTGCTGCCTATCCGTGCCTATCAGTGCCCATCAGTTCTGCCTGCCTGCACATCAGTGAAGGAGAAAAATTACCTGTTTGCAAAATTTTATAATAGAAACAAAGAAAAACTTTTTTTTCCACATTTTGTGCTCTTTTTTGTTTATAGCGCAAAAAATAAAACACCCAGTGGCAATTAAATACCACCAAAAGAAAGCTCTATTTGTGTGAAAAAAATGATAAAAATTTCATATGAATGACAATTGTGCAGTCATGCAACACTATACTCAAAGTGCAACAGTGCTGAAAGCTGAAAATTGTCCTGGGCAGGAAGGGGGTATAAGTGCCCGGTAGCCAAGTGGTTAAACCCGAACACACATGAATTACACAGGATCTGTGGCTGATTAAGGTGGTAATTAAGCTCAGTTAGTGCCTTATCTGCAATAAATCATCCCCAGAACCTGTGTAATTCATATGTGTTCGGTTTTAAAGGGATGCGGTGGCAACCCTATAGCAACATGAGGTGAAATGAAAGGCTTTGCTGGTCAAATTTCGAAATCAATGGTGGCACAATCGGATTACAAAACACACAAAATTTCCAATTTTCTAAGAAAAATTCGTTCGGAATTCGACGCATGTATGGCCTGCATAAGCACTCTCCTTTGTCAACACAATGCTGGAACGCACTGCATTTTTATTGGTTTGTGATTGCATGGTATGTAGCAGGGGTGCCCCCGGGCAACAGGGGATCATGGGGCCCCCCTGTGTCCTCGCCCACACTCAAACCACACCCAAAAAAGCCTATGAAAAGGTACCAGGGGCATTTCATGGGGCCCCCTACTGACCCGAGTTCCCAAATGGTCAGTCCGCCCCGGCATGTAGTAATTTGTAGATTATGGTATAGAATATATTTATTTCTTCTAGATTGTAAGCTCGAAAGAGCAGGGCCCTCGATCCCCTCATGTTTTGCATTGTATTGGTATTGTTCTGTCACATGTTCTGTCCCCATTTGTAATGTACAGCGCTGAGCGAACTATTGGCGCTTTATAAATACTGTATAATAATAATAATTACATTGCACTTGTGATATGGAAAGTTTGTTTTTTATGTGATATTATTATTATTATTATACAGTATTTATAAAGCGCCAATAGTTCGCTCAGCGCTGTACATTACAAAGGGGGACAGAACATGTGACAGAACAATACCAATACAATGCAAAACATGAGGGGATCGAGGGCCCTGCTCTTTCGAGCTTACAATCTAGGAGGGAGGGGGTGGTGGCACAGGAGGAGATAGCTGTGGGGGATGGAGTGGTAGGAAGAGTGGAGGAGGTCGGCAAGTTAGCAGGGGGTGGGGTAGGCTTCCCTGAAGAGATGGGTTTTCAGGGTGCGCCTAAAGGAGAGGAGAGTAGGTGATAATCTGATGGGTTGGGGCAGGGAGTTCCAGAGGATGGGTGACACCCTGGAGAAGTCCTGGAGGCGGGCATGGGAGGAGGAGACCAGGGAACTAGAGAGAAGGAGGTCTTGTGAGGAGCGGAGTGTGCGTGCTGGGCGGTACTTGGATATTAGGTCAGTGATGTAGTTCGGGGCAGTATGGTGGACAGCTTTGTACGTCAGCGTTAGGATTTTGAATTTGATCCGTTGCGCAATCGGAAGCCAGTGGAGGGATTGGCAGAGAGGGGGGTGGCGGAGACAGAGCGGTTGGAAAGGTGAATGAGTCTGGCAGCCGTATTCAGGATCGACTGAAGCGGGGATAGCCAGCGGCGAGGCAGGCCAGTGAGGAGGGAGTTGCAGTAGTCGAGTCGTGATATGATGAGGGGAGTGGATGAGCTGTTTAGTGGTTTCTGGGGTTAGGAACGTGCGGATTTTGGCGATGTTGTGGAGGTGGAGTCTGCACGGGTTTGTTAAAGATTGGACTTGGGGCTGGAAGGATAGGTTGGAGTCCAGAATGACACCCAGTACTCTGGCCTGCAGGGCGGGTTTGATGGTAGCGTTGTTGGATGTGACGGAGAAATCAATGGGGGGTGGTGTCCGGGCTGGGGGGAAGACAAGAAACTCGGTTTTGGAGAGGTTCAATTTAAGGAAATGGAGCGACATCCAGTCTGATATGTCGCTCAGTAGGTGTGTGATTCGGGCTGAGACCAAGGGGTGAGGTGGGGGGTTGAGAGATAGATTTGTGTGTCGTCGGCATAGAGGTGGTAGTTGAAGCCGTGAGAGTGTATGAGTTGGCCAAGGGTGGAGGTATAGATGGAGAAGAGAAGGGGCCCGAGGACAGAGCCTTGAGGGACCCCAACAGAGAGGGGGAGTGAGGGGGAGGTGGTAGCATTATAGGTAACGCTGAAGGAGCGTTGTGACAGGTAGGATGAGAGCCAGGAGAGAGCAGAATCTCTGAGGCCGAGGGAGTGTAGTTTTTTTGAGGAGGAGGGGGTGGGTCGACTGTGTCAAAGGCCGCAGAGAGGTCAAGGAGTAGGAGCACTGAATAGTGGCCATTAGCTTTGGCGGTTAGCAGGTCGTTGGAGAGTTTGAGTAAGGCAGTTTTCGGTGGAGTGTAGGGGACGGAAGCCGGACTGTAGGGGATCGAGGAGGTTGTTGTCGTTGAGGTGAGAGCATAGGCGGGTGTAGACTAGGCGCTCAAGGAGTTTAGATGTAAATGGGAGCAGGGAGATGGGTCTGAGGTTGTTCGATATGTACACATGCGCAGTTACAGAAGGGATTTCTTGAGTATATGATTATTTTTTATGTTGTGCTGCACGTTTATGTTTTTTAATAGGTGTGTGAACACACGGCAATGAATAGCAGCAACAATATGTGTATATATATATATATATAATTTCATTTCCACACACATTTTATATTCGTCAGGTAGCTCGGTGGTTTTTCCTCGACATACAAGGAGCTGACTGCTGTACTTGACCAGCAGAGGGGGCGGTAGGCGCGGGCAGCCTGGTTGGCAGGAAGGGACTGGCTATCCCATGTGTTGTCTACTCTCTGCACCTCGTCTGATCGCCTGCACGGAGACATCATGCCCACCTTCGAGCTCTTCACTAACGTGCCAAAGGATGCCATTCCCGAGGACTTGTTGTGTAGTCTGACCGAGCAGCTGGCCAAGGCCACGGGCAAGCCGGCAGAGGTGAAGTGTGATGAATAGAGCTGGGTGGGAGGGGCGGCTGGTACCCGGCTATGGAGGGCGGGATGAGGGCCATGTCATGCTGCTGTGTGTGTCTCATTCATCGTGCAGCTGCAGGCCTGGGCCCAGAGGAGCAGATGTCAGCTATAGTATGTGTACATGGCCACAGATTACTGTATATCCCATCTGATGGGGCTCCTATGGTGGCCATGAACGCTTCCAGAAATGATGGATTTCTTTTCCCATCTATCTCTTCTTCTGATAGCAATAATCGATATTCAACAACCCGTTCAATTGGTATGCCATACACAGGAAAGATCATTTCTGTATCAATAGTTAAAGGTGTATTAAACCCAAAAATGTGATATATTGCCACTTACCAATTTTAAGGAAATGGCTCATTCCTATCACCAATTATGAGATGTGGGAGCTGCATTAGTTTTCCTCTGTTTTCACCTGATGGTCTGGCCAGAAACATTTCTGTATTAGTGAGAAACCACTCTGGATGAAGGAGCACAGCAGACTGGGGGAAAGGGAGTGTTAACCACTTTGAGTGCCCGTTTACATATATGCAGATTTGAACCGCAACCAATCTGCATGACGTGAAATAACATTGCGATCTATGGTGCCTGTTAACATATGTCTGGTGCAGATTCAGTGCGGTTTTAAAAAGTAATGTCCGATTTCTGAGCAGTGGATTCAGGTTCATGTACGGATTACAGGCTATTGACTTCTGAGGGAACCATCTCTAAACCTGACATGTGAACAGGATAATCCTGAGCTGATCCTGTCCTGAACCTGATGTAAACCGGACATGAACCTGTGAACAGCTACTGTTGGTTAGCTGTGAAACCTGAGCTTCAATCAACACACCGCATATGTGCAAATCAGCACTAAAGCGATACTAAAGGTTCCAGGTTTTTTTTTAATAACAAACATGTTATACTTACCTGCTCTGTGCAGTGGTTTTGCACAGATCCTCCTCTTTTTGTATCCCCTCCCAGCGCTACTGGCTCCTCCTTCCTGTCAGGTGCTCCCATAGCAAGCAGCTTGCTATGGGGGCACCCAAGCAGGTACGCTCCCACGCCTTCCGTTCACATACAGAGCTGCATCTCGACCCCTCCCTCTCTGTCTCCTCATTGGTGTACTGGCTGTGATTGACAGCAGCAGGAGCCAATGGTCTTAGCCAATGGGGATTCAAAGACTCAGGACAGCAAAGGCTCTCTTGCACATCACTGGATCATGATGGGACTGAGATATGTATTAGGGGGGGAGCTGCACACAGGTTTTGTTTTGTTTTTTTTTACCTTCATGCATGATGGTAAGAACCTTGAGCCTTTACAACCATTTTAAGACCAAGCCAAGTCTAACATTTTTTTTGTTTAGATTTAAAAATGTATATTATTTGCTATAAAATTTCTTTGAACCCCCAAACTTATATATCTTCAAGTAAAGGACCTAGAGAATAAAATGGTAGGTGTTGCAATTTTTTCGCAGCAGCTATTCAAACGCAATTTATTTTTTTGCGGGGGGAATACCTATTTCATGAATTTTAATGCACATAATATAATTCCCAATTGTTTGGTAAAATGTAAAAGATAATGTTATGCTGAGTAAATAGATACCTATCATGTCACACTTTAAAATTGTGCATCCTTGTGGAACGGCGACAAACTAAGGTACTTGAAAATCTCCATAGGCAATGTTTTAAAAGCTTAGAGCTCCACAGGAGTTCTGGTGCTAGAATTGTTACTCTCACTATAACGTTTGCAGCGATCCCTCAAATGTGGTGTAAACACTGTTTACATATGTGTGCATGACCTACATATGTGTTCACCTTTGCATGTGCACAAGGTAGGCAGGGGGCACGTTAAACATTTTTTATGACCTATTATTTTTTTAGTTTTACACTGTCCCTTTAAAAATTTTTTTATCCCATCTATTGTTATCACAAGAAATGTAAGCATCCATTGTGATTGCAATAGACAGAGACAGGTCCTGTTTACGGAGAGATCTGGGGTCTGTTAGACCCTAGATCTCTCCTTCCCCCTTGAAAGCTCAGACCGTTTGGATCCAAAGCTTTTCGTTGCCGTTAAACAATGGCCGAAACCAGAAGTGACAAAAACTATTTATTTTCAGTTTCGTACACCATAGAGATGATCGGAGAGGCACCAGAGTGCAGCAGGAGGGGGATGACCCCTTCTGCCACCTGTAAAAGCAATCCAGTGACAAGTTAGCTGGCTTTTTTATAAAACACAGAATCACCAGCCCTAAGAAACCATACTGGCATGATGCCTGAAGGTATCCTCCCAGTTGCCCATCTCAAACTGCTGCCATGTATATACATATTGCAGTCGGTAAGTGGTTAAATGTACTAGCAGATTTTAATACAATAACAATTTGAAACAAACTCCAGTTCACACAGTTACAGCAAACCGGTTTTTTTTTTTTTCCTTTTTTGATGAAGGTTTTACATGAAGTGGTAAATGGTTTTTCTTATCCATGTAAACTACACTGCTGGAAAGCTTCAGCTTTTGAAAAACAGCAGGTTTTCTGGCTGATTCACCAGATGAAAATAGAAGAAAAAAGAAAACTAATACAGCTAGTGGTGCACCAAAATGAAAATTCTGGTACCGAAAATTCAAAATGCACTTTTTAAAAATGAATATATTTTTTTTTGGAAAAAAAATACACTTTGATTAAAAAAAGCAATATATACCCCAATTTTATTGTAAAGTATGAAAGAGGATGTTACAGCGAGTAAATAGATACCCACGGGGATGGGGGCACTTTAAACTTTTTTTTAAACTTTTTTTTTTTTTGCACTGTCCCTTTAAAAAAAAAAAAAAAAATGTAATCACTTTTATTCTTATCACAAGAAATGCATGCATCCATTGTGAAAGAAATAATTAGTGACAGGTCCTCTTTATGGGGAGATATGGGGTCAATAAGACCCCATATCCCTTCTCTGCAATGTAAAGCATTGGATCAAAAAAAAAAAGCATTGATCTAGTGCTTTAAAAAAAAAAAAAATGGAGGGAACCGGAAGTGACATCGCTCTGGTCCTCCAAGGGCATAGAGATGAGTGGAGGCCATCTTTCCTTCACTCAATGCGATCAGTTATTTTCTGTTATGGGCGATCACCACAATTTGATTGAATCTGGAAATTGATCAGAAGGGAAGTTATGGCTATTCAAAAATTTTAAACATTTGATTGTTTGGATCGAATAACAGATTAATTATATCAAAGTGTGTATTGCCACTATAAGGCACTCCATACATGTTACAATCTGAACATACAATCAATAACAGATTTGCTAAAACGTCGAGGGCATTAGCCTATCCAGTTATTCTGTAATCAGTCAGACAAGTCCTTGTACTGCAGTTGGTGGTGGCTCTGACGGAGATTGTAATGTGTTTGGTGAGCTGACAATCGGTGATGGCAATTATCAGGATTTTGGGTTACAAGGTTGGGAGACCCTGTGTTACCTCTTGTTCCCTGCTGAGTAAAGGTGGCAATAGATGGATCATAATTTGGCTGGTCCCTGCTGAACCAGCAATCCATCTATGGCTGTTCTGTTCAAGAGCAGTCAATCTAGTGATCTCCTCAAAAAGGAATGTTGGGAAATCTTGTGTTCGGTCAACGCATGCAGCCATTCGTCTACAGAGCTGATCAGTGTATTTTGACAACAGAGGAGTCCCACTGTCTGAATACAATAGCTCAGAGGGGAGGGTTCCTTTGTCCACCTCAAATGTGTGGATGGGGGAATCCATTTGTTTCTTTGATGACAGATTTAAAAAAAGAAAAAAACAAATCTGTGGCCAGCTTACATCAATAAGGTGATATCGTATTTAAGGGCCAGTTCACTCCAGACGTGTTCCGGATGCGTTTTTGCTTACAGTTCACACCATACTCTGTTCCGGTGTGTTTTTTGCTATGTTCCAGTACAGTTCTGTGCAGAAAAAATTTAACATGTTCTACTTTTTTTTTTTTTTTTTTTTTCTGCACCAGAAACTGGAAATGACTGCACTGGTGTGAACTAGTTCCATTGGAATACATGGAAAACCCTGTGCATGCATTTTTGATACAGAAAAAAAAAACACACTGGACTGCAGCTAGTGTGAACCAGCTCTAAATGTATTCAACCTGAAATGTTTTATTTCCAGTTTTGGGGAGGGTTACAACTGGTGTCCCTGTTGTTGAAACATGTACAGTTGTCTTTGGGAGAGATGGAGAGGGAAAATCTCTCACTGGAGACACCTGAGCAGTGACAGATATTGGGTGGGATTTCCTCTTCTTTGTTTTGTGACTCCAGGGTGGGGTAAACTAAACAATGGGGCACAGACTACCATAAATCTAACAAGAAAAAGGTTTTGGCTAGAGTGACACTTTAAATCTTGGCATTATTTAATGCGTACCAATCCGCAGGGAGTGTACGCTTTTCTGTCTACAGTGCTGTTAATGCTTGCTGCACCAACATTGTTGTTAAAGATTGATGTGTGACACCGATAGGGACTGGTTGCCTGGGGGTGATGGACAGGATATGTAATGTAGACAGTAGCAGGATTACTGGAAGGACTGAATGTCAGCACATTCACACTTCCCTTGTCCCATTAGATCACTGTGAAAATGTGATGCTAGAATAAATCTGCAGCTCTAGTTTATTCATTTTTACTATCTGCAAATTAATTGTCAGTCTGAGCATGTGCTGCCTGGGAATCTGTTAGAGAAGAACTTAACCCCCCACACACACACACACATAATTTTTTTTTTTTTTTTTTTTAACTCGTTTAAATTTTGTGCATCATTGTCTTCAATTCTGATACTCCCCTGCTCTTTGTATCCAGCGATGTGCTGCTGTGATTTGCTTTTCTTTTGACTCGGCCCAGGTCTTGTGCTTTCATTGTGGTCCTCCACAGTCATCAGGAACTGGCTGCTTCTTCTCAGTTCAGGCATTGAGCACCCAACGATGCATGACGCTCCAATCATTGGCTGCTCCACT